AAAAAATAAATTTCACAAACTCCAAATTAACTCATCGACCAATCGCTTCCTCCCGATCTCAATTCTTTTCAAATCCTCCTTGGGCATAATGCTTCACGATTTACCCAAGATTCACCTTGTATCATTCGCCCAGGTACTTTGATCTATGTTTTATATATAAAGTGAGGCACGAACCTGTTTGGAGAGAGACTGCCTCACACCATCCTGATGTACTTTTTACAACAATATGAAAAATCCTTACTTTTAGAACAGCTTGCACCGACACATCCATAGTTTATTGAGACGAAGAGTGCCATGAGTTCCATCTTTCGCCTGCGCACGTTCGTAGCTCAGTTAGAATCGGAGAGTGAAATTTGAGAGTTAACATGCATGTGTTAATATATCCATGATTGTTCGGCTGGACCCGTCCATCGCCAAACCCCCTAAGTGACAATGATGATTCTACTCCTGTTATTGCCAGCGATGTGGTTCATGTTGCGATCGAATCTGCAAATTCACGTGTCCATCTCTGTATGAACATATACGAATACAGGTCAGATATTGTCTTGTGTAGACGATTGAGTCAAGGCCGTACGTTAGCAGGTGCAACCGGAGCGGATGAACAAGGCCCCAAAAACTAGAGGGCGCCCAACTGCTGATAATTATTGTGTTAAACAAAGATTTAATTATAGCTAAAAATGATCAAAATATCATTGCCAAAGGCCCATGCAACCTCCAATCCCGATCCATCAAATACTCCCGGCACCCTCGGTCCTCTCTCTCTCTCTCTCTCTCAATGCAGCTATTCACAAACAATAAATTTCACAAACTTTAAATTAACTCAGGGACCAATCGTTTCCTCTTGATCTTGATTCTTTTCCAATCCTCCATGGGCATAATGATTCACGATTTACCCAAAATTCACCTTCTATCATTCACCCATGTACTTTGATATATGTTCTATATATAAAGGGAGGCATGAGCCTTTTTGGAGAGAGACTGCCTCACACTAGCCTGATGTTCTTTTTACAGCAGTATAAAAATCCTTACTTTTAAGAACATCTTGCACCGACACATCCATAGTTCATTGAGATGAAGAGAGCCATGAGTTCCTTCTTTCTCTTGCTCACGTTTGTAGCTCAGCTAGAATCAGAGAGCAAAATTTAAGAGTTAACATGCATGCGTTAAAATATCCATGGTTGTTCGGCTGGATCCGTCAATGGGCCAACCCCCTAAGTGACAATGATGATTCTACTCCTGTCAAATAGTGAAATTTTTCAAAATAATAAAGGTAATGTTGCACACAACTTTGCACTAAAATTGCACTTTTGTAGTATGCAAATAACAACCATATAATAATGTAATTTCCGCACATATTACATAGTATTTGTGTATATACATTTGCACTCACTTAAAATCCCAAAAATGCCTACAAAATAAAAAAATAAAACCAACTAATAAAGAAAAATCTATATACCTACTATTAAAGGGAGGTGATATTCTTGGTTTTGTCCCGCTTAGTTGGTCCTATGTTATGTTTTTTTTCTTTGGTTTTCGTCCATGATGCATCATCCGTACGTGGTCTCCTGCCTGGTCCCTACGAGGTGGGATTATTCGACACTGTAGCGGCGGTTGCCCCCTGCTACTCCAAGATTTGAGAAAAAGTCCAGCCCAACCAAAAGCCCATTATACTAGCCCAGAAATCCATCCAGCTAGCTCTAGCTAGCTTGGCACGTAGGATCTCCAGTCAATATGTATGTGTGTATTGTCGGCCGAAACTTCGGGCAGATGAATCGCGTCGTATACGTACACCAGAAAGTGTACTATGATGAACCTGCCACACTAATTTTTGCTATATGAATCGGGTATCGGGATCTGGGAGGCTCCGTCCCTGCACAGGAAGAGGATCATGGAGGCGGCAGCACTGGTCCAGGAGTAGAGGATCGTCGAAGGAGGATGTGCGGTAACACATCACTTGTATGTATAGCAATCTATTGTACTAGCCTGGTTAGTGTTAAAATAATCCCACCTTGCTCTTCACATATAATGTGACCAGTTTATATACGTACGACATAGAGAATCAATAAGCAGCCTGAAATCCGGAAGGGAACAAAGAAATTACTCAGAAGGAAGAAAATAAATAAATTAACTCGGTAGAGGAAGAAGGCTCGGAAATTAGTGAAGACACCAACAGCGGCACAACCGATTGCATCACCGGGCTACTGCTTCCCTTCCCATGTTGTCGGCCGACGTGGCGAGGCAGAGAAAGAGGGATTGAAGGAAAGGGGTAGAGTCGAAGCGGGACAGAGCACTATGCGTGGTTGCTCGGCCGACGGTTGCCATGGGCACCGGTCTCCGGAGGAGAGGTGCAAAGGAAAATAAGGGCGCAAGGGAAGAGAGGCCATTTAAGGAGAAGGAGAGGGAAACAACCCAGGAGGAGGGGGAGGAAGGGAGCTTGACGGGGAGGCGGCGGCGGCTCGCTGTAGCGGGTGACGTGCCTTCGCAACGGCGACGTGGGGATTGAATGGAGGGACTGACTGGGGGGATCGAGCAGACGCTCTCCCCTAGCGCCTAGGTGGTTAGCGGGGGTGGCTGCAGCTGGGCCGGTTCGGCCAGTTTGGCCAATTAGGGCCGGCTGACACTATTTGGGCTATTGGGGAGGTTGTTGCTGCTGCGGCCACTGGGGCCGGCCCACCGTGCAGTGCTTAACCGTTCCCATTTTTCAGAAAAGAAAAATAGAGGAAAAGATTCCCCTCAAATAATTTTTGAATTCTGATTGAGCCAAAAATCTGCATGTGGCTACTCTCACATATATCAAAGCTCCACAACTTGAATTGGAGAATAGGCCAGGATTAAAAAATATCTAGAAACAAAAAGGATTTAAATTTCAAGTGTGTTTATGGGTAATTTTCATATAATGGAGTAATTTATTTTAGCTCCCTAATAATATTGGGAGGCTAAGAGAACCGTCATGTGAATTCCCTCAATTTAAATAGATCAAAGATCCATGCAATTTTTAGTTCAAGTTGAGGGTTTGAACAACCTCATTACAAACTAAAGCATCATGACATGATGTAGTGAAAAATAAGATAGAACACGTACTATAATAACAATTATGGAAAGAACAACAACTTTAAATATGTGAAGATGTTGCACGAGCTTGGAGTGTGATACGAGATGTGCGTGTCTTTTTCAGAGAATACCTTCTACGTGAAATGCTTGTGTTTGGACCAAGTCCAAATAATGCAAAAAAAATGCATTTGAATATTCAAAAAGTATCAATTCAATATCCACGCATGCATGCACAACAGTAATAGACATTAAAACATGATATCTACTTCTTTGATACCTCGACATGCGCTTCCCTGCCCTACCGTGTTGCGCTGATGGGTGTTTTGGTGGACAAATCATTTTTTTTTTCCGTTGCAACGCACGGACATATATGCTAGTAAATAACAAAAGCAGAACGCATGGAAAAGAAAAACAGAAGGAAAGAGGGATTGGCTAGGCGGTACATGTAATGGGCTTCGGCCCAGTCGCAAATCGACTGATGCAAATATGCGGTGAGTCAAAAAACAGCCCAAACCCAGCTCCCAGAACAGTCCAGGAAAAAAAAAACACAGCACGCATCTCAGGGTATGAATCAACAGCCGAGAAACTGACTGAACCAAAATTAAAATCCAGGGGACTTAGGGTATGAATCAAATTCATCGAAGTTCATATAACAAGTGTCCCCATCCCCACTGACTGGAATTTCTCCATGTGCTCCCCTTCCCCCAGACTCGCTGGAACTACCTACATATACCCGGCGGCCCCTAACCCAGCAAGCAAGCACTCCCGCAAAAGAGCAAGCACGTCTGCCGGCCGGGACAAAAACTCCTCAGAAGAGCGATACAAATGGGCAGCTCCAACACCACCAACCCGACGGTTTTCTCTGGCATCGCGGCCGCCGACGACGTGAAGGAACCATTCCGGCCGCTTAAGCCCGAGGACGTCCGATCTTACCTTCACGAGGCTGTGGACTTCATCTGCGACTACTACACCACCGTGGAGTCCATGCCAGTTCTTCCCGACGTCAAGCCGGGGTACCTGCAGCACGAGTTCATGGCGTCCCCGCCAACCTATCCCGCAGCGTTCCACGTCACCATGAAGGAGCTCAAGGCCTCCATCATCCCTGGCATGACGCACTGGGCCAGCCCAAACTTCTTCGCTTTCTTCCCGGCCACCAACAGCGCCGCCGCCATCGCCGGAGACCTCATCGCCTCCGCCATGAATACTGTCGGCTTCACGTGGCAGGCTGCCCCCGCAGCAACTGAGTTGGAGGTACTCGCGCTTAACTGGCTCGCGCATCTCCTTCACCTGCCCGCCACCTTCATGAGCCACACGGCCACCGGCGACCGTGGGACTGGTGGCGCCGTCATCCTCGGTACCACCAGCGAGGCAATGCTGGTAACGCTCGTCGCCGCGCGTGACGCCGCGCTGCGTCGGAGCCGATCTGTGAGAGTGTTTGGCACGTCGGGTCTGGTTGTCTACGCCGGGGACCAGACCCACTCCACCTTCTTCAAGGCATGCCGCCTCGCCGGTTTCGACCCCGCCAACATCCGTTCGATCCCCGCCGGCCCAGAGACCCACTACGCACTGGACCCGGCGAAGCTGCTCGAGGCCATGCAGGCTGACGTCGACGCCGGCCTCGTGCCAACGTACGTTTGCGCCACGGTGGGCACCACATCTTCCAATGCTGTCGACCCGGTGGGGGCCGTCGCCGACATTGCTGCATCCTTTGGCGCTTGGGTCCACGTCGACGCCGCCTATGCTGGCAGCGCCTGCATCTGCCCGGAGTTCCGCCACCACCTCGATGGTGTCGAGTGCGTGGACTCCATCAGCGTCAGTCCGCACAAGTGGCTTCTCACCTGCCTCGACTGCACCTGCCTCTATGTCCGTGACGCCCACCGCCTAAGCGACTCCATGGAGACAAACCCGGAGTACCTCAAGAACGATGCTACCGACTCCGACGAGGTCACTGATCTCAAGGACATGCAGGTCGGCTTGGGCCGACGATTTCGTGGGCTCAAGCTGTGAATGGTCATGCGCATCTATGGCACCGCCAAGCTTCAAGAGCACATTCGCAGCGATGTAAGCATGGCCAAGTTGTTCGAAGGTCTCATCCGCACCGACAACCGGTTCGAGGTCGTCGTGCCTAGAAACTTTGCCATGGTGTGCTTCAGGATCAAGGCTAGTGGAGCCATAACAGAGGAGGCCGCAGATGAGGCCAATCGTGTGCTCATGAAGAATTTGAACAAGACTGGCAAAGCCTACTTTGCGCACACTGTGCTCAGCAACAGGATCTTGCTCCGGTTTTGCGGTGGGGTCGTCGCTTCAAGAGGAGAGACACGTGAGGAGTGCATGGGAGCTCATCAAGAGGACGACCAATGACTTGAGGATGGATTAAGTGTGTGCATTCATAGAGAATTTGAACCCAAAAAATGAAATAAACACACGACTATTTATATGCTCGACAATTGTAATACAGGGAGATCCATATTACAACCTCACATACAAAACCGTCTACTTTACAACCTCACATACAAAACCAAACAAAAATCAACCTTTCTCAAGTCAAAACCGGTTTATCCCTGTTTTACTGGTTTTGACCAGTCAAATGCCTAGTCAGCATCTTAGTCACCCGCCACGTCACACACCCGAAATATGAAAGTCACCCCGCCACATAGGTATCCTCGTAAACTAGATGGTTTCGAAGTTCGGGATTGTTCTTAAACTTTTTTGACAATTCAGGGTTGTAATATGTGCTTCTCTCTTTGTAACACGAAAAGAAACTGAATCGGGCGGCCAATCAAGTCTCATGCATGTCCACGCCTTATATTCAAGGCATATGCACCGCTCGCGACGCCTTATTCCCTCCCAATCTTCTGCATCTCCTCATTTCTGTCTCTTCCAACATCGACGCAGCTTTCCTTCTCGTGCCCCTCTCCTTCCGGTCACCTCTACCACAAGGTTTTTGACCCGGCTCACAACAATGCCTCAACGAGGTTAGTCGCCCCAGCACCCTTTCATCCTCCCGTCCGGCGTCGTTCCGTAGCAGAGAAGTGCTCCAGAGGCAACCCAATTCGGTGGTGGTTTGTGTTCTCTAGCTCAAGGACCCGATTCGGCAAAGTTTGACTTGACACAAATCTAATACGCCAAGTAAAAAAGGACCTGAGGGAGTACTAGCTATGAGTGTTGGGCTCAAAAAAAAATTATGGTTAATCTAAGATGGTGTTGGGCCGTACGTCGCCGTCCAACGTGCAAATTAAACTTCACAACTCTCAGATATTGAGTAAAGTAACACTAACTGCAATTTCACGCGCAAAATTAACTCTATCAGATCAAGATGACGGGCTTGGTGGCGCACGGACTGCAATCCCCCGAGCTAGTCCTAGCCCGCTGGCTACGGTACCATAGCTAAAATTATTCGTACGCTGCAATAGGGGAGCTCCTATTTACCGATCTTATTTACTTGCCAAACACTTAGCTATGCTTGATCAGGATCGCCATACGTGGCTTATTTCTCCTCATGACCCGTCTTTTTATCCCTTAAACATTGACATTGATCAATAAAGTGTTGGCAATTCTCAATCAAAAAAGCAATTACCATGTGTCGACCTTTTGCACAGATCTGGCGTTTGAGCGATAACTTAGGCTGCCCCATTAAAGGGTTGCAGCGTTTCCGGTTTTGGGAACCTTCTAGAGTTTCTCAGCTGGTTTTTCTGGTTTCGGGAACCTTCTAGCCGGTTCTCTGCACCGGTTTTCTGTTTCTTTTTTGGCTTTTTTTAGTTTTTCTGTTTATTTTTCTTGCTTCTACTTTCTTCTTTATATTTTATTTTTATTTTTGTTTATATCTTTTATTTTCTTCCCTTTTTATTTTTCAAGTTGATATTTGATTTTTCTAATTCAAATTTTGTTCAGATTTTCAAAATGTTCCGCCATTTAAAATATATTCACAAATTCAAAAAGTATACAAGACTTTCAAAAAATGTTAACGTATTTCAGAATTTGTTCACAAGTTTCGAAAATGTTCATATTTTAAAAATACTTCTGGAATTGGGAAAAGTCTTCGCGGTTGCAAAATTTGGTCTGAAATTGAAAATGTGTTCAGGAATTTAATTTTTTTTCATGGTTTCAATTCTTTGTTAGATATTTCATGAAGTTACATTGTCAAATTTTTGTTCAAAAATTCAAAAAATGTTCACGATTTCAAGTTTTTTCCTAATTTCATGAAATGTTCCATTTTTTTTTAATATTTATTCAAAAAGAATCACGGTTTAAAAATTTGTTCAGAATTTCATAATTCTTTACAACTTCAAAGAATGGTCCACGTTTTTCAAAAACATTTTTTGCAGTTTCAAATTGTTTGTTCGCATATGCAAAAAAATGTTACTGTCTATGAAAATTAGTTCAGAAATTCAGAAAATTGTTCCCACTTTTTGAAAATGTACACTTTCAGAAAAACAATATACACTTTTTTGTTAGATGTTGCTACAGTAACTAATTCCAGTTCGTTACAGTAGACAGGTATGGTTGTATGGTTGCATATGCGCGCTGTTCTACTGGAACCAATTCCAGTGGCTGGGAGGACGCGGGCGTAACCTGTTGGTCCGCGGTTCGATTCTTGCCATCGCGACGCCAGTTTGACGCAATGGGCGTCCAATAAGAGCTCCCGTGATGAGATGCTAGTCCAGCAAACGCGTCCTCCCCGCTCATCCATGTGCACTTTTTCTGGCCCAGCCCATATAAGGGCGGGCGCCCCTTTTTTTATTTCATATTTTTTAGTTTTTTCTTTATTTTTAATGTTGATTTATTAAAATAACTTTGGGATTGCAGAAAAAATACAAATTCGAAAAGTGTTCACAAATTGGAAAATTGATCATGATTTTGGAAACTATCCTCATGTTAAAAAATGTTCTTGAATTTTGAAAATGTTTGCAAATACAAAAAATGCCCTCTAATTTAAATGTTTTGAAAATTCTAAATAAATCATGAATTCAAAATATTAATCATTTTGAAAATATATTCGAGACTTCAAAAAATATTCATGATTTTAGAAAATAAGTTTAAAAAAGTTAAGGAATTTAGAAAACATTTTGTTATTAAAAATATTAAAGAATTTGAAGAAAGTTTTGTGATTTAGTAATATAAAACAATGCTGATGAATTCGGAAAACTGGTCATGAATTCAAGAAATGTTCGCCGTTTCAAAAATGTGCAAAAAGATGTTCGCAAATTTAGAAAAAATGTCCATGAAACTAAAACTGGAAAAAGGTAAAATAAAAAATAATGAGGGAGAGAATCAAGGAAAAACAAAGAAAAAAGGGTCCTGGGAAGGTTGTAGAACGTTGCCAAAACCGATGACAAAAAATCAGAATGGGCTGGCCCAAAGACAGGAGGAGCTTGACACGTGCGCGGGGGGTGGGGGCATAGATTCCTAGCCTAGCGGAAGACACATCAACGTACAAGGAAAACTTGGACGCAAACGGGACATCCTCTATGATCCCGATCGTATCACAACCAAGCAAGATGTAGCCACGCCCAATGGCAAACCTATAATTACGAGTGGATCTGATTTTTTTTAAATGTGAATGAGGTGGAAGGGCCTAATGACCCGAGAAGGCTAGGATTTGGAAGTTCATCCGATCCGATGGGACATGCACTAGTGGCAAGCTTTAGATTTCCTAGTAATAATCCGGCGCCTCGTTCAGCTGATCGAGCTTCAACTCTAGTACTAATTATGCGCAAAAAAATGACATCGGCTCCTCCGACCGGGAAGACACTTGAGCTTAGATTGCATATAAATATATTATAGAAGCCAATCGTTATATTTATATGAATGAAGGATTTACACCAAGTTGGCTTTATTAGGCTTACAAATGTGTTTCATTGGTTGCTTGCACCCTTGTATTGTTCCTGCATACTCGTCGTTTACCTCTCGCCTTGTCTCCTCGGGCTAGGGCTGCACGTCGGTGCCGCACCTGCTCGCCTTCCTCTGCCTCTAGCTAGCCACCACTTCATTGATGATCTACTAAAGCCCAACAAGCCATTGCGGGGTTTTTATTTCGTTGTTTGTAGCATATTCATGTCAATTTTCCAATTTGTGAGCACTTTTCGAAGTTGTATTTTTTCTGCAATCCCAAACATTTTTTTTAATAAAGCAACACTAAAAGTAAAGAAAAACCTAAAATATATGAACGAAAAAGGGGCGCCCGCCCCTATATGGGCTGGGCCAAAAAAAGTGCTCATGGATGAGCGGGGAGTGCGTGTTTGCTGCACCAGCATCTCATCACGGGAGCTCCTATTGGACGCCCTTTGCGTCAAACTGGCGTCGCGATGGCAAGAATCGAACCGGGGACCAACAGGTTACGCCCGCGTCCTCCCAGCCACTCCAACTGACTAGAATTGGTTCCAGTAGAACAGCGCGCATATGCAACCGTACAACCGTACCTGTCTACTGTATCCAATTGGAATTAGTTACTGTAGCGAACATCTTACAAAAAAAGTGTAATTTTTTTTTCTGAAAGTGTATATTTTGAAAAAGTGGGAACGATTTTCTGAATTTCTGAACAAATTTTCGTAGACAGGAACATTTTTTTTTGCGTATGCGAACAAACAATTTGAAACTGCAATTTGTTTTTTAAAAACGTGGACCATTCTTTGAAGTTGTGAAAAAATTACGAAATTCCGAACAAAATTTTAAACCGTGATTCTTTCTGAATAAATATTAAAAAATGGAACATTTCACGAAATTAGGAAAAAACTTGAAATCGTGAACATTTTTTGAATTTTTGAACAAAAAGTTGACAATGTAACTTCATGAAATATCTAACAAAAAATTGAAACCATGAATATTTTTTAAAATTCCTGAACACATTTTCAATTTCTTTGAAAATGTTCACAGATTTAAAATATTCATAAATTATATAAT